ATATGGGACGCAGGAAAGAAGACTGCTCGTTCATTACTACTGACAATGGTGCTAATAATTGTGGCAGCAATACGCAATTCTGGCTGGCCGTGGCTCAATTGTTTTGCCACAATCAAGCATTTGGCTATCACAAATGCCTTAAACTGCAGAAAAAGAACGCACGGTCGCGTGCGTGTGGACTCCTGTAGTAATCTTGTGACCAAGATTTCAACGTGACTGGATAAGAGAGGATCTCATTTAGATAAATCTTGTAAATTATACTACCGCCTTTCCACTGCAGATCTGAGTCCAAAGCGGTTTACAAATGTTAATTATTTTTTTGGGCATTTGTCTCTCCACTCCACACAGAGATGGAGGCCAGTACAGGCGCACATGCCAGAACTATATGGACATATTTTTAGTGGTAGGGAAACCGAGATACCCGGAGGAAACCAACTCAGACACGGGGAGAACATGCAAACTCCCACTCGCAAAGGAGCCCTGGTCCGAGCGGATTCCGAACCCAGGACCTTCTTGCTGAGAGCGAGAGTGCTAATCCACTCAGCCACCGTGCCGTTCACATGAAAGCACAGACTTGAAGCTTGGCCTCCCTCAGCACACACTTGTACTGGTGGTTAGTTTAAAAAATGGCAATTTTTAATTAACATTTGAGAACACATTGTTTTAATTGAAATACTTTAAAACTAAATATTAACTTTGTCTAATGTACGTCTGATAAAAGTATAGAATCCCACCATAATTTAACAAGAACTTCTTAGATTAAATAGAATCAAATCATTACTACAATATAATGTGAGTACAACATGCATTCTTGTCTCAGATGAGGCCCACCAGATGGGGCAGTAAACAAAAGATGATATACAGAGTACTGGAGCAGCTGCAGCTATCAGAAGAAATCCTAGTGGAGATAGAAAACATGGCCACCTCAACCCACAAGGCAAGATGTGTCCCCTGTGCTGGAGTCAATCAAATGCAGCCTTGAAGCCTGTTGCTGACTTCACTGACATACTTACTTGTGTATAAGTATGTTCACATTTTCCTCAAAAAAGCCAGTGCTGGAGCTCCAACTAAAGGTGAACGTTAGCACCAAGTCCAGAAACACTGGCTCACAACAAATCAAGACCAACACGAGCACAGGTTTGGAAGGATAAATACTGCGCTCCTAATAAAAAAATCATCTAAGGAAAGCAACCATCTGTGGATCCAAGACACAGAGAGGCAGTTTGGAGATTTAGAGGTATTGCCGGACACCAGGAAGAGCTTGATTGAGGAGCTGCTTCTAAGATGGAGGAAGGAGATGGCACAAAGAAGCGGGAACAAGCATGCGCAGCTGCAGAGATGGATACAGCAGAAGTGTGAGCGGAACAGGGGGGCAGAGGCCTATCAGTGCAAAAGAAAAACATTGATGATCACCAACAAAGGCAGGAGAAATTTCAGTGTGACAACAAACACATGAGCTGTACCAGTGAGAACAAGCAAACCAGGACTAACAAAGTAACTGCAGGAAGAAGCACAAGATTCATCATCTGATGCCGCTTGGATGTGTTTTTGATAACCAAAAAAGGCATCCTTAAATCTCCAAAAAAATACATGTGCATGTTGTATGCCACAAGCACGATTCAGAACGAATGACAGCACAGCAAGGAACAAAGAGACCCCAGAATGTCTAAAACCACCAGGTTAACATGTAGGTTAAGGACCTCTCAGCAGGGAACATAGAGCCCCTGAGAGGTCCTTAAACCGCACACCAAGGTTAACATGTTTGGTTTAAAGACCTCTCAGCAGGGAACATAGAGACCCCTGAGAGGTCCTTAAACCACAACCAAGGTTAACATGTGGATTAAGGACCTCTCAGCAGGGAACATAGAGACCCCTGAGAGTCCTTAACACACAAGGTTAACATGTTGGTATAAGGACCTCTCAGCAGGGAACATAGAGACGCCCCTGAGAGGTCCTTAAACCACACAAGGTTAACAGTTGTTTTGATTAACAGGACCCTCACAGGGAACAAAGAGACCCCTGATAGGTCCTTAAACCACACACAACAAAGGTTATCAAGTTGGTTTAAGGGACCTCTCAGCAGGGAACATAGTGACCACTGAGAGGTCCTTAAACCACACAATGATAACCATGGCTGGGTTAAGGCCCTCTCGAGCATGGGAACATAGAGACCCCTGAGAGGTCTTAGCCTTAAAAAACCACACAAGGTTAACAAGTTTGTTTCCTCGCTCAGCAATGCAAAAACTAATATACTGAACAGCCAGAAAGGCAATTACGTTTATCACATTTGTCAAGTGAAATATTGTTTTGACTTTCAAAATTTCTTAGGAAGTGAGGCAACCATGTCTGGTGCTGGTTAAACATTTGATTTCCCGTGGATAGGGTATTACTAGCTTGTAGCTGAATAACTCACGTGCTCGGGGGATTCTCGCGGTACTGCAGACTAAACCAGACTAAATTCACGTGGGCTACCCAGAAATTTTCCCCATAGAACTCAATGCAGCTCGAAAACAGCTCGACCTCAGCTGACAGAGAACCTGACAGAGAACCTGACAGAGAACCTACAGCTTTCATAAAGGTCGGATTTTGTGGGGATTTTAGTGTCCCTTGTCATCCTGAACTTTTTTTCTTCTTAAATCCTTCGGTTTTGTTTAAATCCACACTTTAGTGCCACAAACTCTGCTCGTCTGGCTCTCGCTCTAACTCCCGCTCTGATGAACTGCTCTGATTGGTCAGAGCGCGGCCGAGCCCCTCTGTGCACGTGCGTGAGACCCTCTGTGCACGTGCATGAGACCCGTGGGAGATCATCCACTGCACAGAACCGGGAGGACCAGACGATGCCCAAATACAGGCGAGTTTCCCAAAGATCTTTGGGAGTTTCCCATAGATCTTTGAGAGTTTCCCATAGATCTTTGAGAGTTCCAGGCGACTTCCGCTAATCTTTCAGCCCCCATGCCGTCACAAAGCGCCACTGGTCCCGCCGGGGCTTGGCGGGACCACTCGCGGCCATTTTGGATTGCTCTAGTAGAGCACATTTTTTGGCCCATTTGTTTGAACGGCGGTTTAATATTTACAGTCTGTGGTCCAGACACACAGATTATCAATAACCTCGACCAAAACACGTTCAGTGGTCACCTGATGTTCACTGCTTTAAAGTGTTTTTCATGAGTTCTGTTTGTTGTGTTTGATTATTACTCACAGCTCGGCGGAACTGAGCCTCACACATTCATACTTGCATACTGTCTTTGTGAGGACTCTCAGTCACACATTCATACTTGCATACTGTCTTTGTGAGGACTCTCAGTCACACATTCATACTTGCATACTGTCTTTGTGAGGACTCTCAGTCACACATTCATACTTGCATACTGTCTTTGTGAGGATCATTAGTGATAGACCATAGACTGTGTGATAGACATTCTGTGATTTTAGACCAATTCAATTTAATACATTCCTGTATAGCCCTTAACCACAGCAGAAGTTTTCTTGGAGGACTTTACAAAGCTTTCGATTTGCCGACACAGATCAGAGAATCAAACAGTTAAAACACTAGAAATGCAATGATAACAAACAAATAGAGCCATTGGTCCATAATGATGACACCCAGCTCTACATCTCCAGCAACCAACCAGATTCCACACTCCCACCCTCCTCTCTCACTAACTGCCTCCAAGAAATAAAGTCCTGGTTCACAGCAAACTTCCTCAAACTTAACAGCAATAAAACTGAACTCCTCCTCATCGGCACCAAAGCCACCCTCAATAAAATCAAAACATTCTCCATCTCCATTGATGGCTCCTCCTTTTCTCCCTCACCTCAGGTAAAGAGTCTGGGTGTCATCCTCGACAGCACCCTATTATTCACCGCACACAGCATCCGAACATCCGACGACTCCGCCCCTCTCTCTCCCCTCACACCACCGCCATACTCATACACAGCCTCGTCACCTCCCGCCTCGACTATTGTAACTCCCTCCTGTTCGGTCTCCCTCAAAAAACCCTCCATAAACTCCAACTGGTCCAAAAAACTGCTGCCCGCTTCATCACACACACCCCCTCCATCACATCACCCCTGTCCTCCAACAGCTCCTCTGCCTCCCCATCACTCACCGTATCCAATACAAAATCCTGCTCCTCACATTCAAAGCCATCCACAACCTTGCTCCTCCAAACCTGACTGACCTCCTCCAGATCTCCACACCTGCCCGCTCTCTCCGCTCCTCCTCCTCTCTCCAGCTCCTGGTCCCTCCTCCTCGTCACCATGGGGAGAGCCTTCAGCCGCTCTGCTCCCCAGCTCTGGAACACTCTCCCCCCTGACCTCCGTGACACCGACTCACTCACATTCTTCAAATCCACCTCAAAACTCATCTGTTTAGACAAGTCTACTCACTAACATAACTACACTCTCCTCTGTCCATGATGTTTTTACCTTTGTATTTTAACTGTTTTTAAAATGCACTTTTTTACTTGTATGTAAGGCGACCTTGAGTGTCAAGAAAGGCGCCTAAGAAATAAAATGTATTATTATTATTATTATTATTATAATGGGCAGATGACCTCTGTCCATACATGTACATGTCAAAACCAGGAGTCACCTTAAAGCTGAGGGCTATCTTAATATTACTTACTTTAATTACTTTACATTAAAGTATCTAGGTGGCCAAACCTGCAGGTGAAAGCCAGGTCAGTCCTCTGAAGCTCAGTAGGGCAGGGCCTGGTTATAGAAGAAAAGGAAAAAAAAACACTGATAAATAAATAAAATAAAAACACGTGACACATACAGACCTCACACAAACATACATGTATTTAGTGTTATTATTATTAGTATTATTTATTATTACCAAATAAACAGCCAACTCGCGCATGCGCACTCTAGCACATGCTCGCATAATAATTGTATTTGTATATTTGGACATTATCACAGACTCTCGGGGTCAATATTGTGCGACTTGTTGCTGTTTGTGAAAGTTATAATTAAACTCATTGACGGACGTACAGCGCATGCGTGACTTCCTGTGTTTGCGGATTTGGCGCAGAGAGTCTGGCGCAGAGAGTCTGGCGCAGAGGAGAGCGGACCTGGCCCCGGGTCTGGACCATAGTCTGGACCATAGTCTGGACGGTGCCATGAGGCCGCCTGCTCTGCTGCTGCTGCCCGCGCTGCTGGCTCTGCTCCCGGGGCTGGAGCTGGGACTCTCCGCGGGACCAGAGCCGAGCCTCCGTGCGTCTGTGTGGGACCGGAGCCCAGGTGAGCGACACGCCGTGGGCTGGACTTTAAAGCTCGGACACCTAAGTTTGCTCGGTTCTTTTTGTAGATTGTTTCTATGTCATCGTTTTCTGAAATGATCTTTAATCCACGAAATGTGAGCAGTTTTACTTCCGGGAGCACTTTCTCTTTATGGCAGTTACAGTTCTTTGTCCAAGGCGCTGGTTCTGGACCGTTCTGGACTGGTTCTGGTTCAGCTTGATTTTCCACCGGGGAAAAGCTCGTGCTAGTTACCATAGCAACACACTGTTAGCTGTTAGCATGAGGCCCTCACCTGTTTATGTTGTATTTAAAGTTATTGTAGATTCACCAGTTTTAGAAAGTAATAAAAGAAGAAAGAGTAAAAACCTAAATTATTTACTTTAATAATTTTTCGCTGTTCACTGAGAAATAAATCAGTTTAAGTTCACATCAAAGCTCAAAGTGTGGCTTAAAACAATCTACGAATTTATAAATAATGTATTTTGTGTGCGTGTGTGTGTGTGTGATCGTGACTGTGTGTCCATGACTGAATGTGTGTGTTTTCGTGAATAAGAATGCGACTGTGTGTGTTGTGTCTGTATGTGTTGGTGACTGAATGTGTTGTGTGTTTTTGTGAATGTGTGTTTTCTGTGTGTGTTCATGACCGTATATGTGTGTTGTTTATGTGATCGTGACTGAATGTGTGTGTGTGTGTTTTTGTGAGTGTGTGTTGTCTGTGTCTGTGAATGTGTGTGTGTTTTTGTGAATGTGTGTTTTCTGTGTGTGTTCATGACCGTATATGTGTGTTGTCTGTGTGTGTTCATGACCGTATATGTGTGTTGTCTGTGTGTGTTCATGACCGTATATGTGTGTTGTCTGTGTGTGTTCATGACCGTATATGTGTGTTGTTTGTGTGTGTTCATGACCGTATATGTGTGTTGTCTGTGTGTGTTCATGACCGTATATGTGTGTTGTCTGTGTGTGTTCATGACCGTATATGTGTGTTGTCTGTGTGTGTTCATGACCGTATATGTGTGTTGTCTGTGTGTTCGTGACTGTGAACGTGTGTGTTTTTGTTAATGTGTGTTGTCTGTGTATCTTTTACATTGGTGTGAAGTGTTGTAACTATGTGTTTAAGGGCTGTGTTTCTATTATTCCTTCTGTATAATGTGTTACACTGTAGATAGATACTTGACTGATCACCGCAGGAGAAACTCCGGTGTCCAGTAGCACCAAAAATAAAATTGATCATTCTAAAAAGCTAACAATTGTAATAATCAGCAACAAGAAAAGAAACATAGAAATTTGATCCTGGATTTGAACATCGTCAGAGAAGAAGCCTGTCTCGCATTTTCAGGAAGACTGTTCCAGGTTTTAGCTGCACAAATCTGGAACGCTGCCTCCTCATGTTTAGTCCTGACTCTGGGACCAGCAGGAGGCCAGTCCCTGTGCTCCTCAGTGTCCCAGCAGGAGGCCAGTCCCTGTGCTCCTCAGAGTCCCAGCAGGAGGCCAGTCCCTGTGCTCCTCAGAGTCCCAGCAGGAGGCCAGTCCCTGTGCTCCTCAGAGTCCCAGCAGGAGGCCAGTCCCTGTGCTCCTCAGAGTCCCAGCAGGAGGCCAGTCCCTGTGCTCCTCAGAGTCCCAGCAGGAGGCCAGTCCCTGTGCTCCTCAGAGTCCCAGCAGGAGGCCAGTCCCTGTGCTCCTCAGAGTCCCAGCAGGAGGCCAGTCCCTGTGCTCCTCAGAGTCCCAGCAGGAGGCCAGTCCCTGTGCTCCTCAGAGTCCCAGCAGGAGGCCAGTCCCTGTGCTCCTCAGTGTCCCAGCAGGAGGCCAGTCCCTGTGCTCCTCAGTGTCCCAGCCGGAGGCCATGGAGAGACTTGTAACAAACAGAGCTGTTTTAAAGTCTATTCTCTGAGCCACAAGTGCAGAGACCTGAGGACTGGACTAATGTGATGGTACTTCCTGGTTCTAGTCAGGACTAATGTGATGGTACTTCCTGGTTCTAGTCAGGACTAATGTGATGGTACTTCCTGGTTCTAGTCAGGACTAATGTGATGGTACTTCCTGGTTCTAGTCAGGACTAATGTGATGGTACTTCCTGGTTCTAGTCAGGACTAATGTGATGGTACTTCCTGGTTCTAGTCAGGACTAATGTGATGGTACTTCCTGGTTCTAATCAGGACTAATGTAATGGTACTTCCTGGTTCTAGTCAAGACTAATGTGGTCGTACTTCCTGGTTCTAGTCAGGACTAATGTGATGGTACTTCCTGGTTCTAGTCAAGACTAATGTGGTCGTACTTCCTGGTTCTAGTCAGGACTAATGTGATGGTACTTCCTGGTTCTAGTCAGGACTAATGTGATGATACTTCCTGGTTCTAGTCAGGACTAATGTAATGGTACTTCCTGGTTCTAGTCAAGACTAATGTGGTCGTACTTCCTGGTTCTAGTCAGGACTAATGTGATGGTACTTCCTGGTTCTAGTCAAGACTAATGTGGTGGTACTTCCTGGTTCTAGTCAGGACTGACGCTGTGGGTGGTTCTCCATTTTTCACTAATGCGTCTGCAAAAGTAAATCCAGGACATGTTCTATGGACAGAGGTCCTCTGCTCCTCATGGACCAATGACTCCTTTGTGTTTGTTATTATTGCATTTCTTGTGTTTAAACTTTTCTCTGATCTGTTTTTGAGGAATCAACAACTTCATAAAGTCCTCTGAGACGACTGCTGATGACTTGATACACACACACCGCACATGAATGTAATTGAATCATGATTTCTGTCTCTTAACAAACTCAAACTTTGTCTCTGGTGTTTTCAGATCCAGAGCCGACAGACTCCAAACCTCTTTGTCGCTGCAGCTGGTTCCTGGTGAAGCTCAGACTGAAAGACTGTGGTCCTGAGAACCAGGTGAGCTCAGGTGCTGTTCAGACACTGGTGTGAGAGGACTGGTTCAACTCCTGTAGCTGATACTGTGCCTTTGGGCTAGACACTGGGATGTCAGTGTGAGGAGGTTGGTCGTTCTAGATCTAGAAGAAGCAGAAGAAGGTCCTTCATTCGTCCCACAAATGGGGAAATTTCAGTTTGATGCACACACATATACATATACATACACATATACATATACATACACATATACATACACATACACATATACATACACATATACATACACATACACATATACATACACATATACATATACATACACATACACATATACATACACACACACATATACATACACACACACATACACATATACATACACATATACATATACATACACATACACATATACATATACATACACATACACATATACATACACATATACATATACATACACATACACATATACATACACACACACATACACATATACATACACATACACATATACATACACATATACATACATACACATACACATATACATACACACACACATACACATATACATACACATACACATATACATACACATATACATACACATACACATATACATATACATACACATACACATATACATATACATACACATACACATACACATACACATACACATATACATATACATACACATACACATATACATATACACATACACATACACATACACATACACATACACATACACATATACATACACATACACATACACATATACATACACACACACATACACATATACATACACATATACATACACATATACATACACATACACATACATATACACACACATACACATATACATACACATATACATACACATACACATATACATACACATACACATACACATACATATACACACACATACACATATACATACACATATACATACACATACACATATACATACATATACACACACATACACATATACACACACATACACATATACATACACATATACATACACATACACATATACATACACATACACATACACATACATATACACACACATACACATATACATACACATATACATACACATACACATATACATACACATACACATATACATACATAGGGCGGCACGGTGGCTGAGTGGATAGTACTCTCGCCTCTCAGCAAGAAGGTCCTGGGTTCGAATCCCGGCCGGACCAGGGCCTTTCTGAGTGGAGTTTGCATGTTCTCCCTGTGTCTGCGTAGGTTTCCTCCGGGTACTCCGGTTTCCCCTACCACTAGAAATATGTACAATAGGTCTGGCATGCGCCTCCTGTTCGGCGACCCCGCTCCCATCTCTGTGTGGAGTGAGAGGACAAGTGCCCAAAAAAAAAAAATAACAATTGTAAACCGCTTTGTGACTCTGGTCTGTGAAAGGCGGTATATAAATAAAGCTTAAAAAAAAAAAATACACATACACATACACATACACATATAGATATACAAATACATATCAAGGCAAGCAGCGAACATCACTTCCGTGCTCCTTATAAGCAAAGTTGGTTAAGTGTCTTGCCCAAGGACGCAACAGGAGCAGACATCAGTGGAGTGGTGGGCTCGAACCAACAACCTTCGGCCAATGCTCTACCAACTGAGCTACTGTCGCCCCAAAGATTGAATGACACCACAGGTCATGGTAAATGTAGCAGCACCACACTGAAAACTCCTGTGTATTCACTGCAGTAGTTGTTCTTTGATACGGCCATAGAAATAAATAAAATAAACTGTTAAAGATGGAGGTATACACACGTTACAGACTGTAACTGTGGTTCTGTGAATCTGGGATGATTCTTCTGCAGCATAGAGTACTGTTTATTCAATTCAATGTATTTGTGTTCATCCCTAACTCACAACAGCAGTCGTCACAGAGGACTGTACAAAGTGTCAATTCACCAACAACAGATCAGAGAATCAAACGAATCAGACACAGGAAATGACAAACGCATCGGAGCCATTGGTCCATAGGGGGCAGTACTATGGAAGACCGAGGCTGTAACAGGACCCAGGACCGAGGCTGTAGACCCAGGACCGAGGCTGTAGACCCAGGACCGAGGCTGTAGACCTGAAGGAAAACTGATTTGTACAATTAGGATGTGAGAAAAATATACAAATACACATACAGTATTGTTCTTATTTCACACTGCATCTTTCTTTGTTTTCAGATTTCGACAGCGGCGACGAGAATGAAGCCGTTTTATTTGGACGTCGTGAGGAAGAAGCAGAGAAGGTCGACAGAGACGCTGCTCTGTTCAAAAACTCCACTCAGACTGGAGCTTCCTCTGGGGCTCAGGGCAGTCGGTGAGAAAGACCTGATAAACAAACAAGATTATTATGAATGTGTGGAGTTTGAGAGGGTGCTTTCTCCACAGGGCGATCGACCGGTGCTTTTACAGTCACTCAAAAGAGAAGAAACGAGGATTTGATAGAAGAGAATTCTCAAACTCAAGACGCGGTGAGACTGAATGGACTCTTTATCCCCGTCTCAGAGTGTGATCTTAGGGCTAAAGCAGGTTATGGATATCTTTGTGTCGTAAAGGTCAAATCAAATGGTGTTACAATAATCCTAACTTTGCGCCAGCGCTGCTCTGGGTGTTCCAGAGTATTTTCAATTGACCTGTGGAGCAGTGGAGCCTTTCTTTCTCTCTTCAATTGAACACTGCGTTTCTTAAATGTGTGTCGCTGGTTTCCCATAACGTTAGTCGAGTAACTTTTATCTTTTCACCACTGCTTCTCCGTCTCATGTCATGGTACTGTACCATAGAGACTGTATTTGATGATGCAAAGGAAGGTTTCTCACCCATCATCTGTACTTCTTAACAAGTTTCCCGACTTTTCGTCCTCAATCCTAAGGACTTCTTCAAAATAAAAAAACAAGACTGTTTTGGTTTGTTCTGTTTGATTTGTTCACAACATTTAACTTCTGTGCACAAATAACATGCATTTTCACTGCAAGCAAGAATTTAGGTACCTTAGCTTTATTCAGTGAGTTTTGGCTGCGCTTCGTGTGGAGACTTGGGGGAGACGTGGGAGAGACGGGGGAGAGACGGGGGAGACAGGCAAGACCCGCACGTGCAACGTGGTCCTGTAAGGCCTGTTTCACACCGCACACGAATTCGTGAACGAATTCGTCTTCGAAACCCGTTCGCGTGCATTCGCAAGCTGCGCTTCAAGTCGCGTCCTGTTGTGCAAATGAGAAAGCTCTTCTGTGTACAGACCGGCGCTGAGGCGGCGCGCAGGGAATCGGCGCGCGCCGCTGCGGCCTCCGCTCCTGAAACCAAAAATGGAACTCGAGCGCATTTTTTCCGCGTGTAGGCTGCGCAGCGAAGCGGCTTTCAGCACGAAAACATTCAAAAAATAACTTTTATAAAGCAATTTCACGTTTATCTAATCTCATTATTGTAATGCATAAGTACATAAGTTTATTCTTTTAATTACACAATTTTCCATGTCATACTTTTTTTTATGCATAAAATATAATTGTAACATACATACATATATATATATATATATATATATATATATATTATAATTATAACCTAACCTTAACCCCCATGGAGATCCAGGCCGCCCCCACACCTTATAATTAACTATGATAATGAAACGACAATCAAAATAGGCTATAAGATACATTATAAGGAAATGTTAGCAATTTATTTAAGGTCTACATGTGCTATTTTGATTTCTGACCTGTTATTTCAGACAACATATGTAAATATACAACATGTTTATTAGTTTGGAGTACAATACTACTCCTTTTGTGCGTGCTACTTGTCTAGGCGCTTCGCCCACGCTCCGCGTCAGTCTGAATACATGCGCTCGCCGCGAGGTAGTTCGGCTGGAAAGGGCGCTCTGCTCTGCGCTCGGCGTGCGGTGTGAAACAGGCCTAACGTGTCTATGGTCCGCGCTCGGTACATGACCACGTGCGTCTATGGTCCGCGCTCGGTACATGTCCACGTGCGTCTATGGTCCGCGCTCGGTACATGACCACGCGCGTCTATGGTCCGTGCTCGGTACATGACCACGCGCGTCTATGGTCTGCGCTCGGTACATGACCACGCGCGTCTATGGTCCGCGCTCGGTACATGACCACGCGCGTCTATGGTCTGCGCTCGGTACATGACCACGCGCGTCTATGGTCCGCGCTCGGTACATGACCACGCGCGTCTATGATCCGTGCTGGGTACATGACCACGCGCGTCTATGATCCGCGCTGGGTACATGACCACGCGCGTCTATGATCCGCGCTGGGTACATGACCACGCGCGTCTATGATCCGTGCTGGGTACATGACCACGCGCGTCTATGGTCCGCGCTCGGTACATGACCACGCGCGTCTATGGTCCGCGCTCGGTACATGACCACGCGCGTCTATGGTCCGTGCTCGGTACATGACCACGCGCGTTCGCTGAGCTGTCAAAGCAGCCACAGTTTCTCCCGGGGTCAGAACGGAGGATGTTGTTGCACCGCGCCACACTATTTGAGAAGGACTGGTCTTTGAGAAGGACTGGTCTTTGAGAAGGACTGGTCTTTGAGAAGGACTGGTCTTTGAGAAGGACTGGTCTTTGAGAAGGACTGGTCCATGTGAAGTACGCAAATGCGCTTACTAACTCAAGTGATGGTACGCATCACTGTATACTTACGCGGCGCTGCTTACGTTAGCGGTTGCGGTGGACCTACGCAAGCACAATTTAATTTATACTCCTTGCGGAGTTTTGAGGAGAAACATTGGAAACATAGTTATTATTAAAGTGTATTCAGCACAAACAGCTAAACAATAAGTGGTAAATATCTGAGACAAACATGAACAATTTATAAGTGCAGGAGGAACGGAACAGACGCGATAATCTATGATTCAAACAAGACAGGAACAGTTTATATGTTATATATATGTTATATATATGTTATATATATGTTAGATATATGTTAGATATATGTTAGATATATGTTAGATATAAGTTATATATATATGTTAGATATAAGTTATATATATATGTTATATATATGTTATATATATGTTAGATATATGTTAGATATATGTTAGATATAAGTTATATATATATGTTAGATATAAGTTATATATATATGTTAGATATAAGTTATATATATATGTTAGATATATGTTATATATATGTTAGATATATGTTAGATATATGTTAGATATAAGTTATATATATGTTAGATACAGTCTCCTGTATATCAGGCTCTGAGCCCAAACTACTTTTCCTTTGGTTCCTTTGAAGCACAAAGCTCTCTGCTCCATAGTGCCTCGTCCATGCTCCTGCTGCAGCCGCTCCGTGCTTCCTTCCAATACACACACACACGGACCAATCACAGCGGAGCTTCCTTGCGATTTCGATGCTGCGCAGCAGGCAACGTAAGGGCCTTGCGGTGACCAACGCGTTGCGCAAGTGACGTCACCTCCGTAAGCTCTGCGCGAGTATACACTAGGCTTTATGTGCACCCCTGGTTATGACAGAGCTGAAGTCATAAACAAATGTTTACCATCCCACCTGTTACTTTTGGGCTGTGTGCAGCATTTTATGGAAATGGTTTAAAACCCCATTGGGTGTAAGAATCTCCATGAAGAGTGAATTTGGCCCACATTAAACTGACTGATCCATTTTAATAATCAACCATGAAGCTGGAACTGAGGAGGATCTTGAAAGGGGGACATTAAGTTCATACAACGCTCACCTATTGTTGTTGTTCTTTGCAGGATCCAGACTTTGAGGTTTTTTATCTCGACTGGAAAAGAAAACTCTGCTCTGTTCTGGGGAAGTGTTCCTCAAACCAGCGACCACAAAAAGAAAAGAGGACAACTGCAAATTCAGATCTCAAGATGGAGACACCAAAACTGGAGAAGATTTTAACAGAAAAAGCAAGTTTCCCGAGGCCTTTTACACACTCACTGTATTCGACTAAAGCTGCTATATTTTCAGTTAGTGACGTAAGGAAGAACAAAGACATTCGTGCCACGAATGTGTCTCTTTTCATGACCTCCTTTCTAGAATCTTTTACCTCTTTAAGTGGCATTAAGTCTACTGCTATCCCTACCATTGCAAGTACTTCGACCGTTAACGCTTTTAGCTCCAAGAAGACTTCGACAAATGGTGTAAAAATTCCAAGAAATGCAGCCTCCCTAACAATGAGTGCTGTCTTTCCGGGACCTACAAAGAATGCTTTTTCAAAAATTGCCAAGTCGGCTAAAACTGGAGCCTCAGTGAATGGAATGGGCCTTGGTAATATTGGAGCCATGTCAAAATTCTCATCCACAACGACTATAATGGCTCCTACTGGGTCCTTTTCCCATAAAAATGCAATCAAGCCAGCGAAAGCCACTGGGAGAGAGAATGGAGCTTTTAAAAATGGTTTGATTTTTAAGTTGACTGTTGGGAATGGAGCAAGAAGGAATCCGGCCTCCCTAACAATGAGTGCTACTTATGCACATTCAACCAATAGGATCAGAAATGGACCATTCTTGAAAGCAAAATTCACAAAGAGGTCATCAAGAAATATCAGGTCGTCAAGCATGAACAGGAATGCAATACATTTGATTCCATCCCACATATCGTCTCCCCAAACAAGTGGGTTTAAGGGCTCCAAAATGTTAATCACGGCTTCATCCATCGCTAAAACAAACGATGAAGCCTATCTGCAGATTCCAAGGGGGAAGAGAAGTTCAGGCAGAAAAAATAAGCAGGTGTCAAGCATAAAAGGCAAGTCTAAAACAGTATCCAAAACTCTAAAGTCAACCAAAAAGGTCCCCATTTTGAAGGCTAAGCATCCACAAACAAAAACGTTGTCAATCGTCAAAAAATCAGCTGATCTGTCACCAAGTCCTCAGCCTCCAAGTTCACAGACAAATAATAAATTATCAAACATAAACAGAAAAACTAAAAATGTTAAAGCTAAAAGTCCAGCAGACAAGATAAGGAAACAGACATTAATCATAAAACGTAAGAATAGTTTGAAAGGAAAACTGCCAAGAGGAAAGAAAAGCTCAATTAAAAAAACCAAAAAGTCCCCTAAACGACGGGTTCGAAGACGAAAGAAGAAGAAAAAGAAAAAACGACGAAAAAAGAAAATTTTAGGCATTAAAACAGAACCTCCAATAGCATCTTCTGCATCTCCGACAAGTAGGAATAGTTATCCACCGACTACCACTACTGCTACCACTGCTGCTACATCTATTGCAAAAATTGATAAATCGACTTCTACAACATTGTCCACTGTTGGAGAAAAGTTAACCAGCAGAAGGGCAGCCTCCTTAACAATGAGTGCTGCTTCTGCGCCTTCAAAAGTGATCTCGGCAACTACAAAGTTCACCAAAAATATTTTGGCTTTGAAAGAAAAGAAGAAAAGTCCAGCAAAAATAAAGAAAATGACAGACATGAAAGGAAAATCTAAGGCTAAAAAGTCATCCAAAAATGTCCCTAGTTTGAACGTGAAGCCCCCTAAAAATTCACAAAGAAAGAAAATAAAAACCAAATCGCCAAAACGGAAGGTTCCACGACGAAAGAAGAAGAAGAAGAAGAAAAAACCACGTAGAAAAAAGAAAACAAAAAAACTGAAACCCACTGATTTGAAAGCATCATTGGTCCCAAGTGCGAGTCTGTCATATCCACCAACAATCACAAATACCATGAGACATGTTGCTGAAACCAGAAATCCAACGGCTACAAAGGCCTTAAAATTGTCCAGTGTTGAAGATAACGAAACCATCAGAAATCCAGCCTCCCTTCCAATGACTCCTGCAGGTTCAGTTCCCAATCCAACCAACATCGTACCGAATTTGAAAGTACAGCTGGTTGGATTGACTAAAGGGGCACGGCAAAACCAGAAATTGTCAAACGTAAAAAAGGGGTCAAAAACTAAAACCAAAAAAGGTACAGTTTCGAAAGCAAAGCCCACAAGAAAGAAGAGTTCACAGAGAAAAGGTAAACGGACAAAAAAGGGGAAACCGAAGAAGAAAAAGAAGAAATCGAAGCGAAAAGGAAAATCAAAAACCACAAAATCGCTCACAGCGTCTTTGGCCTCGACAAGTGAAGTCAGAACTTTGCCCCCAACCATTGATACTCCTGCTACTTCATACGTTTTTCCAATAAATAACGCATCCTCTCCTAAAGCTCACACCCTGTCCACTGAAGAATATGAACCAAGCAGAAGTCCAGCCTCCTTAAATCTGATGACCGTTTTGGCAAGTTCAACCAGTGCAGATTCAGTAACTAAGTCAACCACACCAATCCCAGCTTTGAATGAAAAAGAGGAAACAAATCAACTGTCAAGCATACCAACCAAGTCCAAGGTTCCAACAAAGAAATTGTCAAACGTGAAAAGAAAATCAAAAACTAAAAAGTCAAACAAGAAGATCAGCAGAAAGAAGAAACGGCCAACAAAAAAAAGAAAAAAATCAAAATTACCTAAATGTGTGTGTATTACTGTCCCACTCCCTACTACTACTACTACTACTACTACTACTACTACTACTGCTAAACCCTGCCCAATTTGCCCAATCATATCCACTTTGCAATCAGAGGTTCCAAGAAGTTCAGTGACCTCTATGTTGGGAAATACTACTACTTCTCCTGCTGCTACCATTACTAGTACTCCTACTATTCCTGCTACTACGACTCCTGCTACCACAACTAATTCTACTACTAATCCTGCTACTGCTACCAATAGTATTACTACTCCTACTGCTACTACTACTACTACTCGAGCTACTCCTACTACCACTTCTACCACTACTACTTCTGCTACTATTACTTCTACACAGTTTGCTCATGCAACTCCTAAAAATGCCTTCAAATTGTCCATTGTAACCAGAGTAACTAAAGTTTCACAAACCAGAGATTCTGCTTCTGGGAGTTCAACCA